AAACGGCTATGCCTTGCCTATAATGCAGGATACACAGAATACAAATCGTACATAAAACTAAATTAAGAGCAGCTACCTGTACTCTGTTAACGGAGGAATTTGGGAGAGATTAAGAACAAGGGGTCATGATCTTAGTTTTGGTTTTCCTGCCTCTTGTTCCTGGTACTCGTCCAGTTTTTCTTTATTTTCATAGTTTGGTTTCGCCTTATCTGGTCCCGCTGTCTTTGTATCAGCTTTATTTCAATCAGGAGAGACTTCATTTGGTTTAAAGAACAACACATGTCATGTGATAAATGTTAAGTCTTTGGCGATTAGACCCCGATCCTGAAATCGTATATCTAAAGGGGGAAATGCAGCCGTGAGCATATAGGGAACCCCCCGGGGTCTAGACACTGGTGATGATGCTGAAGATCTGGATTTGATGAGGAGATGGGATGAAGAGGAGGTGTGGTGAGGTCTTTGGGTTAACTCTCCTGGTAATGGATGTGATGAAAGGAGGTGGATGGGGGGGGAGGCGGGCGGCAGCATGAACACCTGAAATCACAGCTGACTGCAGGAGAGAGGAGAACCATTTTAAAGTTTGGCTGCAGCACGCTGATTGGCTGCTGGAGATTGAGGTGAATGTAATAGGTTAAAGAGAACGCCCGTGATGAGCTGATTATATGCAGCTGCGGAGTGAATGTATATATAAGCCTACTAGGGATGTAACGATATATCGAATATCGCGATAGATAAATGTCTCAGTACCGTCGTGAGACTGACAAAATATACCACGATTTTTTTTTTTAAACCTTTATTTAACCAGATGGTCCCATTGAGATCATCGATCTCTTTTTCAAGGGAGACCTGTCCAACATGGCAGCAAGTAGGTTACAGCATGAACATAAAACAACAGATAACACAAAAGGACATGGTATTTACAGGGCTACATGTACACACCTAGAGACATTGACAAGTACCAACAGTATATTTATATCTCTGTCAATAAGCCTCACCTTCTTGGCAACAACTGTATTGTTTTTGAAGTGGTGGAGAGACAATGCACAGTTTGACCCACTGTATCTCTCTGTCCCAGCAACATCAGTACCAAGCAAGAGAGTTGTTTCCACAGCAGGGGATTTTGTAAACGCCCAAACATCCCAGCTTCTACCTGGAAATGTGGACAAGCTCATATTCCTAAAAGATAACCTTGATGACGCTGAGTGAGCGAGTGAGTGAGCGAGTGAGTGAGCGAGTGAGTGAGCGAGTGAGTGAGCGAGTGAGTGAGCGAGTGAGTGAGTGAGTGAGTGAGTGAGTGAGTGAGTGAGAGTTGAGTTACTTGAAAAAATAAAGTGAAACTTGATTTATTCTATTGCAGGGTCTGATTATTACATTGTTGACACTTTAAAATACTACTATCCTACTAAAATGCTGTACAAATCAGATTTATTATATAATAAAAAAAAAAAATTCAAGTAAAAAATAAATACAAATAATTCACATTTTTTTTCCTTTATTTTTCAATATCGCGATAAATATCGTACCGTGAGTTTTTGGTATCGTTACATCCCTAATATATACCCAGGGTTCTCAATGTCGAGTCACTTGCTTCAGAAGCGAGGCAAGAATACTTCCTGGCATTCGGAAAACAAAGAATGGAACAGGCTAGCAAGTGTGCAGGTGTGCGTCATATGAGAGGCCCCGCCTTACATTTTCCGCCACAGATTTGGGGAAATTGGTCCGTGTGCAAAGCATTGTGGGGATTTTGAGACCACGGAGTCTACACATGTGCAGCCTCGAAATTTCTCCAAACGAAGTACGCCGGGCTCGGTAGAATTCCAAGTATGCTGGACATTGGAACAGTCCTTCGGCGGCACTCGATGACGTAGCATGCTTGAAATATTGGCTCTGGAGCAGCTTTACTCGACATTGAGAAACACCCCCAGTCTTCCTGAAAGAACTTGCGCTGAGCTTCATTTAATTAAAAACCCTCTTTTCCTGCTTGTGGATCCAACTTCTTGCTAAAACCTCGACAGAAGGTTAATGTGAATGGATGTTTGCTTGGTAAAAGGCAAAAGGTACTTTCCATTGAACCTGTTCTCACACAATTGAATCAAATATATGTGCTGGTTCATTCTGATTAGAAAACGTTGAGTCATTGTACTTCTGGGGATGATGTCTGTATTGAAATCCCAGGTGTGAGCTCCTTTCATTGTTTTAGTTTGCAGTGAATTATACTTTCCTGCAACTTCCACGAGTTGGAAAGCAAAGAGCTTGTTATCTTAATTACTTTCTGTGAATGTGCCCATAGAGCAAACAGAGTGAGATGGCCTTCTATTTCTGGAGGCTGGCAGTCTGTGGAGGCTGTTTGGCTCAGCTGAGCTCATCAGAACGAGCACAGCTTGCTGTGCTTCACCATCATCATCATCATCAGCTCTCTTATTTTCCCCTTTTCTCTGTATTCAATCCAGATTTCTCTTTCTCTTCTCCCCTTTTCAACACTTCCTGTTTTGCTGGTGTTTATGCAGCTATTAAATCGAATGTTACAACCATCCAACTGGTCATTAGTGCCAAATACTGCCCACACCGCTCCATGGAGACTGGACTGAAGCTGTCCCTGGGCTCTGAGTTTATGGTTGAAATGTGTAGAAGGTTGGCTGAGTCACGGGTGAATGTATACGTATTGTGGAGAGGTGTGCACAAAATAATTGACGTGGCAAAATGTCAGTGTCAACTTTAGTTTCCCCTCTGGCTGCTCCCATCTTACTGTCCGGTGTTGTGTTCAGGGAGCAAAACTAAACTCAGTTGCTCGCCTGACCACACACCGGCTTGGACAGTATTTTTAAAGGGGACCTATCATGCAAAATGCACTTTGTGATGTCTGTTATACATCAACATGTGTCCCCGGTGTGTCAGGGAACTCACGCAGCGTCAGAGAATAAAACCCTCTCTCTTTTCCTCCGTACCCAAATCTCTAAAAACGGGGAACAACGGAGCTGATCCAGATTTGAGTCCGATATGACGTAATATCTGAAATGTGGATCCACGGCCCAATCAGGAACGTTGCTATCAGAAACAATGCCTGACTGTTTTGGACGTAATATGATCGGTGTTTACATTAGCATCGCTAACACTCAGAGCTAACCTGTACTGGAGAGCATGTGTGTGAAGAAGCAGGAAGTAAAAAGGAACTCACCTTGTGGTATAACCGGCAAGAGAGAAAGCCTTTGAGCTCCAAACTGTTTCAGAGAGAATCCTTGATAATCCATGATATGGCGTTTCATCACGGCAGCATTTAGTTTAGACAGTAGCTGCCGGGTCCCGCATGAGCTCAGACCCCTCCTTTTTTAAAGCTTTATACCCAAATCAGCACTTTAGAAACAGGAAATGAAATGGAGGGATATGAGGCATGGCTAGAATGGGTGATTTGTTTGGTATTTTGAGCAAAACACTTCATCGACATGTCTTATATATATTTGTATATATCTGAGACCTATGTTATTGCCTACAAATAGCATGATAGGTGACCTTTAAGAGTTCAAAAAGAGGATCTATTGGATTTTAAGCATCCAGAAAACATAGAGTACCATTAGCATCCCATATAAGTATTGTTTCACACCAGCTATTAAAACAAGTCCACTTTTCACTCTCTTTTTAGCTCCATGTTTGGTCTCCTCCAACTACTGAGAAAACCATCTTAGCCTCTATTTAGCCTGTAAAAATACACCAATTTTCTCAAAAGCTAGTCCATTACTTAGTTTTCCTGCTGTCTGCTTGCTGAGCAGGGGGCACACGGGTGGTTAGCAGAAGTTATGGACCATAAAACCAAAACAATTAGCTAAAAATGCTAAATCTCAGAACTGCAATGACTGGTGATAATGACATAATTATCTCTTGGTTATCACCAGGAGCGATATCCTTTACATTACACATGGTCATTAATTAAACTAGAAATATGCACTCTTACCTCCCGGATAAAGGACGGTTGAATTAAGGATGGTCTATAAGTATGGAGTATAAGGTATAAACATGGTATTCACATTCTTTTTACAACTATTATTTTCTGTTTATATGCTCAATGTACCTCCTCTATGAGCCAGGGAATCCGGTCCAAACTCGATTTGAAAGAGGCAAATAAGGATCAGCAAATAAGATCTACACCAATCCCCAATCTGAGTGCATCGGTAGTAGGGTTGCCAGAAACTGACCTAGATCATAATCGATTATTCGGCAGCCCTGGCGAATAATAATCGATTATTCGACCGACCCACACTTTAGTCGCACGTGTGAGGGAGAGGGGGGGTGGGGGCGGGGGCGGTGTGTAGCGTGCTGCAGCAGCAGTCTGCTCTGCACGCAGGCTTCCTCCAAGTTTACAGTAAAACAAACTGGTGGTGTGACCAATGGCCATTTACAATTATTAATACTATTACTATTATTAGCATTATTCTATATTTTGGTTGAAACTAAACCATAAAAATAAAAATAAACATAAATAATAATAAAAAAATATATAAATATAATCGATTTTAAAAAAATAATATTCGATTATGGAGACTGTAACGAATATTCGAATAATCACTGGCATCCCTAATCGGTAGCATATCTGTGAACGACTTATTATAAACACATCACTGCATGAAAAGACTTCGCATCAGCAGGAAAACACGGGGCAACTGTTTAGTGTAAATGGGAGAGTAGCTATTATCAAAGTAAGATCTTTAGTCATTGTACAAGTACAACGAAATTACGATGTGAACTCAAGGTGCCAACGCGCAACAACAAGACAATATAAAAACAAGAAATGGGACTTAAATAGATATGAAAGGGAATATGAACATAAATAAATAATAAATTGCACGATTCCCCTCGTATTGCACGGAAGACATGATAACTTAAATATTAGCAGCGTTTAGTGCACATATGGCCCCGGGAAAGAAACTAAACTTGAGTCTGTTTGACGGGAAGACATGGGACAGAAGCGCCTGCCTGAGCGCAGCCGTACAAAGTGCTCGTTACCCGGGTGGTGTGGGTCCTTGAGGATCTTGACTGCCTCCTTAAGGCAACGAGAGCTGTATAGTACCTCCAGGGAGGGGAGGGGGCACCCGATGATCTTCTGGGCCGAGTTGACGACCCTTTGGAGCGCACCCCTCTCTGCGCACCCCTCTCACACGCAGATGCAGTGGTTCCTCAGCAAAGTGAGGTCATAGCTCAACTTTCAACCCCCCACAGTATCTCACATGACCCCCCTCCCCTCTCACCTCATACTCCTGCATGGAGGCGTAGTACTGAGCTATCTTCACGTAGTATTTCCCTGCAGATGGATCCTCCTGTAGCTCCAGGATGTGGACGGCTTTCTTCCACTGACGAGCTGCGATGGCCGCCTCGATGGCTTTCAGCGAGCAACTAGGAGTGAACCAGAAAAAGTCAACATATAGAAATTAAGCTTTGTTTGTATCCATTACATTTCATATATGAGCATTAACTTGGAAATTAAGATGATATGTGTAATCACCAACAAAGCCAAATTCAAAGTCAATCAACTTTGGTTTAAATGTAAGGTAAAGCAAATCATTTTGGTAAGACTGAGGCACACTTTGAATGTTTACTGGCAGGAGGAATTACTGGCAGTAGTTTTGGCAGTAATAGTTTTAAAACCTTTGTTTCTGCGGACAGTTTTAGCCTGCCACAGATTTTCAGTTTCAGATGCTTTTCAAATTGGAAAACCTGCAAATCTGGGACTTGGTAACCTGTCTTTATTTAGATTTCTGGAAAAATAAAATCATGTTTAAAGATATCTATTATGGTCCTGGTGATGATTTAAAGAACCTTTGGCTGTCTGTTTTCATTATGTGTCATCTTTCCTCTTCTCCATCTGCCCAAATCTGTGTCTCATCCCTTCATACCCTGCTTCAATGAAGTGGTTGATGGCGGCGTCCATCTGCTTCTGCTGGACGAGGTAATCTCCCCAGTTCTCCTCCAGTTTCACCACCTCAGCAGGGAAGGCGAGGCGAGCCAGCTCCACCGCTACAGGAAGCACAAACTTTATTTTAACAAACCGTACACCTGCACTTACCTCAATAACATACATCCAATGTACATCCAATTTAAGTTACGTTAGTGGTGGACTGTAATATTCTCTATACTATTTACCTCTACTTTGAAAACTGTTGAATTTTGCTGAAAATACTTGTGTACTCCTACTTAAAAACATTTTCAATTCAGAACTTTTCCTGGTAATTGCGTATTTTAAGACCATAGTATTTCTACTTTTAGTTAAAGGGGACCTATCATGCAAAATGCACTTTGTGATGTCTTTTATACATAAAGATGTGTCCCCGGTGTGTCGGGGAACTCACGCAGCGTCAGAAAATAAAACCCTCTCTCTTTTCCTCCGTACCCAAATCTCTAAAAACGGGGAACAACGGAGCTGATCCAGATTTGCGTCCGATATGACGTAATATCTGAAATGTGGATCCACTGCCCAATCAGAAACGTTGCTATCAGAAACAATGCCCGACTGTTTTGGACGTAATGGTCGGTGTTTACATTAGCATCGCTAACACTCAGAGCTAACCTGTACTGGAGAGCATGTGTGTGAAGAAGCAGGAAGTAAAAAGGAACTCACCTTGTGGTATAACCGGCAAGAGAGAAAGCCTTTGAGCTCCAAACTGTTTCAGAGAGAACCCTTGATAATCCATGATATGGCGTTTCATCACGGCAGCATTTAGTTTAGACAGTAGCTGCCGGGTCCCGCATGAGCTCAGACCCCTCCTTTTTTTCATATCAATTGTATTATTTTTTAAAAGCTTTATACCCCAAATCAGCACTTTTGAAACAGGAAGTGAAATCGAGGGATATGAGAAAAATAGCACGATAGGTGACCTTTAAGTAAAGGATTTGAGTACTTCTTGAACTACTGCTTCTACCACGTGTGCTTATTCAAAATGTCCTAGAATTGTTCATGCTAAATGCTAAGGAAAGCGGTGTCAATGCCTCCTTTCTTATCTCTAAACAAACACATTTGAACAGTTATAGCAAAGGTAGGTTAGGCATATTTTTTACATCTAAATGTTATCGATTCACCTTTCCTGAAGGCCTCTCCTTTGACGTAGCACTCCAACGCTCTCTGGTTGTTTCTGATCTTCTCATATAGATCTCCTGCCTGTTGAGAAATGGTAGAATATTGATTTATTAAGACACATTCATGAATTGCTAGGTCAGGGTTGTTAGAAATGGAAACTAGCTGGTTAAAAAAGTGTGAGGACACAGTGACACAAACTCTAGTTCTCATGTCCCTCAGTTCCAAATGTTAAGGTGAACAAAATGAGGCTCATTAAGAAACATTTTTGGTGCTCTCCCTTATGAGCACCAATATCAACCTTTAAGCATCTAACTGACAAAACTCTACACACCATCAGGACCAGTGTTGGGACTAACGCGTTACAAGTAACGCGTTACTGTAACGCCGTTTTGACAGTAACTAGTACTCTAACGCATTACTTTTTAAATTCAGTAACTCAGTTACCGTTACTACATGGTGCGTTACTCCGTTAGTTTTTTTTATATAGTCAACAGCCAGGCGAACAGAGATGAGAACTGTACTTAAGTACAGTACTTGAGTAAATGTACTTAGATACTTCCTGTGTCACATGCGGAGACGGGCTGTGGGCGTGTTTGTGTTGTTTACTAACAAGACTATCATGGCGGCGGCGGAGCTCAAGTCTAGTTTCTCCACCTGGAGATATTCTCACTATTTCACTTTTGTCGAGCACAAAGAAAAGAACGTTTTAGTTAAATGTAAGTTGTGTCTTGGCGGGACAAAGAGCCTATCTACTGCCCAAACCAGTCATTCAAATCTCTTAAAACATCTGCAAAAACAACATGCTGGGACGAAGCTAGTAGCTAAGACCACAGAGACTCAGCCGACGCCACTCCACCTCCACCTAAGCAACAGCGGCTGGATTTTAACCAAGGGACTGCTGGCCAGGGAAAAGTCGATAAAGCCATTGCACGGTATGTTGTAGAACACATGCAGGCTATTGCTACAGTGGAGTCACCCGCTTTCAGGGAGCTAGTTAGCGTGATAGCATGTCCGGGCGGCACACGGCATATGGGACGGACAACTTTTTCCAACTACCTGGAGAAAGAATATACAAAAATGGAAAGCCAGCTAATATCGATGCAATCCAGATTGTATATAATGCATGTCAAGTTGATCAACAGATTGTATTATTCTCCAATGCAATAACAGTACTGAAATGAAGGCTATAAGGGCATTAATGGGAGCCCTTGTTTCAACTAACTAAAAAGTTACTTTTCACAGTAACGCATTACTTTTGGGTTTAAGTAACTAGTAAAGTAACTGAGTTACTTTTGAAATGAAGTAACTAGTAATGGTAACTAGTTACTGGTTTTCAGTAACTAGCACAACACTGATCAGGACACAGCGACACATTTTGCTGTGAAGTTTCCTTCTCTCTTTCCCACCTGCTACACAAACACAGATGGCTGGAGGAGAAGACAAACAACTACAGAAGTAGAAATAACAGACAGATGGAGGGAGACAGAGGGCAATATTGAAAAATACAAAATGTGGATGTCGCTCCTCTACTGGCTTTTGTGAGGAGAAGAGGTGGGAATCCAGTAGAGGCAGCTTTGACCAGTTCTACAATAATAAAAGGGTAGGTAAAGATAGATACGATTGTATTGACCTGTACTTAAATCATGTTTTATAATTGTTTGTGTGCTAGAGATGATGCAACTGCAGCTGAGCTATTAGCTCAAATCTGGCATAACTAATTTCTTCTCTTCTCACTCGTCCCCGGCTTCAGCTTCAACCTCAGGATCCATGTATTTGTGATCCTCTCCAGAATGGAAGTAGTCATCACATACAGAGCATCAACTAGTTCCTGAACAGTGTCCTTCACATGCTGATATCCAAGAGAGGGAGTTACACAGTCACAAGATGGAGGAATACCGGTTCTTGGTAATCATACATCCTTCAATGAACAAAATACTGAATTTTTCTCTAAAAATGTTGGCTTTTTTTCTGAAAATCTGAAAATTCTTAATTTTTCTCAAATTCTGACTTTTTCTTAAAATCTCAAAATTCAGATTTTTTTCCCTAAAAATTCTGACTTTATCCTAAAAATTCTGAATTTGTCTCAAAATCCTGACTTTTTCTCAGAATCGCAAAATTCTTACTTTTCCTCAAAATTCTGAATTTGTCTCAAAATCTCAAAATCCTGACTTTTTCTCTAAATTAGTCAAAATTATGACTTTTTCTCAAAATCCCAAAAACATATTTTCTGAGATGAATGTATTTGTATGCATGGTCCATGTTGAAATAAATACATAATAATAGTAGTTGAATCCACTCACTCTCTCGTAGAACTCTCCCTTGATGAGGCTGGCTGCGATGCGGCTGACCGTGTCGTTGTTACTGTTGATCTCCGGGCGGCTGATGGCCAGACGGGCGGCTTTAGCAGGGAGTCCGGCCTTCAGGTAGAGGTTGATGGCTCCCTGGAAGTCTGCCTCGCTCTCCTTCACCTCCCCCGCCTTCTCGTCCTGACCCGTCTCCGTTAACCACTGGTAGTAGTTTCCACGCAGGCTGTCCAGCTCCGGGTGGCCCTGACAGTCATTAAGGGTCGAGAGTCAGGTTATTTCTTTGTTCTATAAGGTTCTATATATGTTTGTATTTTTGTATTCGGGATTGTGGGAAACGGTATTTGGATCTCTCTGTCTGTACACACAAACTGAAAGATTGACAATAAAGTTGACTTTGACTTGACTTTTGACTTTGACTAAATGTAGTGCAAATTAAGAACTGGAGTTGGAATCTTAATAAGAAATAATGAATTTGAAGGTGCTTGCTTAGGTACAGTAATGATAAGATATACTATGCTATGTTCCATAATCATATACTAGGTCTGGGCGATATGGAGTATAAATAATATCTTGCTATTTTGAGGCTGTATCGCGATATATCGAAATCGCAACATGAATCTTTGACATTAAAACC